TTTCCCTGTGGTACTAGAAAAAGGAGCTGGAACTTTACAGTTCCCAGTACTAAATGCAAGTGCTCACTTTCAGGACTCTTCCTTAGCAGCATGTTTTTTAGTCAGCTCCCTTCCAACTCTAACTCACAAGAGAAATGATCCCTCCATGATAATGGTCCATTTAGTGAACACTGGATCTGGAATGAAAAACTGCTCTAAAACTATTCTAACTGACTGACTATCAACGCAAATGCAAGTGGCTCCTGTCATTTCCCCAAATGAGGGAGAAAGGTCTTATGCCTATTCTTAAAAAAATAAACTACAGGTCAAAACTTAAAAACGGATAACTTTTCTTTTTCTTTTTGTCAGGGTCAGGCAAAATGCAATGTTGTAAAGAATTAATTCTGACCTTTTCTTTAGACAGCATTTAATTACTGCACTTTGGTAGTGAAAATAGTAACATCAACATATTAATCTTGAGTCAAAAAACTCCACTCTAGTATGCTAAAGAAAAATACAGTTCTATCTTTTTTTTAACCTTGAATCATATATGTTAAAGAAAATGTGCAACATACCTCGTCCATCCACAGTAATACCTATTCCACTGCTACACAGGCCATGGAATTCAGCTGCTCAATTGAAGTAAGAGATGTTGGGGAAAAAAGGAAATGTTATTTCCAGTGTTTCACCTTCTTTAATCCTAAACCAGATCCACCAGAACTTTTTTTCAAAATAATTTTTCTACAATGTAACTAATGAAATGCCAGTGTTCACATGAAATAACTATTTATAGATAATATAGCTAAATACATCAAGTAGCATTCCACTCTGGCCTTTCATATATATAAAAATGAAATTTGATAACAAGAATTAAACAATCAAGCTATTTCACTAGTTTTGACAGTACTGTGTCCTTAAGTTACTGCTTTCATCCGTAATGCCAGTGTTACTTCATTTCTTCTGAATAGTTTTCTGCTGTCTCAGAAAATGACACTAAATGGAAATACTGTCCAAGTTCTATATTAAAGAGATATTTTTTAATCAATCCCCGAGTTTATTTGGAGAACTGATTCTTATAAAATGCAATACAGATTTCTAAAATTAAGATAAGCTGCTCTTTTAAACTGGATTGATTTGACTAGGAAATTTACAGATTCATCAGAGAAATCTGCTTATTCTCTTCAAATTATTGTTACTTATAACCAACACTTAATTCAGGGACCCAACTTCATCCATAACATACTCATGTCCTTTTCTTGAATTTTGTCAGTCTGGCCAGCTCTGGACCTAGGTTCACCTCAAATGTTACAATGCGCAAAAACACGAACGCTGAATATAACATACCAGAGAGTTTTTGTTTAAAGGAAGAACCATTTTCAGAATCAGTGTACAAGTCCATTAAGTACCCTATTCACTTCTCTTTAAGGCATGAAACAGATGAACAACCTGATCTGAACAAGATTTTTTTAGGTCTGTATGTTCACTGTAGTATTCAAAGAAACACAATGATTTTACCCGAGTTTTTAGCAGGGCAGGGGTGACACGGCTCTCCAAAACCATAGTCAGGATTGGCACAGCAACATTCAGACTTTGTCACAGCACCAGGGAAAGGACGGACACACACTCCTCTTTTGATGCCTCCGTAGCACGTGCTACGCATATGAGTATCTAAGAAAGCGCAAGCAAAGAAAGAACTTATTTCCTTAGGCTGAGTGAAGTGTACGTATACTATCTCAATGACAGCTAAAAAAAAAATAAAAATTTGTTCAACAAAATGGGTACCTTGGCTACATCTGCATTACTCTGCTCAAGGGTAGAGAGGCTCTGCAGAGGGACCTGGACAGCAGGCTGATGGGCTGAGGTCAATGCTATGAGGTTTAACAAGGCCAAGTGCCGGGTCCTGCACTTGGACCACAACAACCCCATGCAGCGCTACCGGCTTGGGGGTAAGTGGCTGGAAAGCTGCCCAACGGAAAAGGAGCTGGGGGTGCTGGTCAACAGCCGGCTGAACATGAGCCAGCAGTGTGCCCAGGTGGCCAAGAAGGCCAACAGCATCCTGGCCTGTATCAGAAATAGTGTGGCCAGCAGGAGTAGGGAGGTGATTGTGCCCCTGTACTCAGTACTGAGACCACACCTTGAGTACTGTGTGCAGTTTTGGGCCCCTCACCACAGTATAGGAAAGATACTGAGGTGCTGGATGCCACAGACGCTGAGGTGCTGGAGCAGGTCCAGAGAAGGGGAATGAAGCTGATGAGCAGTCTGGAAAACACGTCATATGAGGAGAGGCTGGGGGAACTGGGATTGTTTAGCCTGGTGAAGAGCAGGCTGAGAGGAGACCTTATTGCTCTCTACAACTACCTAAAAGGAAGTTATAGTGAGGCAGGTGTTGGTCTCTTCTCCCAAGTAACTAATGTCAGTACAAGAGGTAACAGCCTCAAGTTGCATCATGGGAGATTTAGATTGGGTATTAGGAAAAATTTCTTTACTGAAAGAGAGGTTAGGCATTGGAACAGGCTGCCCAGGGCGGCGGGGGATTTGACTGCCCCTGGAGATGCTCAAAAGACGTATAGATGTGGTGCTCAGGGACACAGTTTAGTGGTGGGCTTGGTAGTGTTAGGATAGTGGTTGGACTTGATGATCTTAAAAGTGTTTTCCAACCAAAATGATCCTATGATTCTATGATAATAATCCTGACGGCATGAAGGCCAATTCCCAAAATGGTTAGCTCCCCGAGCTCCCTCCAGAGCACTTTAAAACCACCTAGACTAGCATACTGTAAGCAAATTTAAAAGCATTGCATAGGACCAGCAAAGATGACCCACATACCAGAGCAGCTTTGTAAATCCACCAACACATATCTCAGTAAGAAACACAGAACAGCTTGAATCAGCATGTGGTGATTAATTTTTCACTTTGCTATACTTATCTGAAAACTATGAGAATGTCTCTTAAATTGCTTTTTATGTGTTTTGTTTTGGGTTTTTTTGGTCATTACATGGTTAGATGCCTTTTTTCCTATTTGCTTATAGGATAATATTGGAGATCTTCTACCAAGCATGTGAGTGGACAGTCCACCTAAATGGCTGGTTGAGAACTGCAGGACACAGATAGTGTAAATAGCCTTTAGTTTTGACTCCTATACTTCTAGAAACAGTTGTCAGAGCTACACAAATACTCTTTGTTTCAGGCATCTTTATGGACCAGGCCAGAACATGGCTTCAATTTATGCTCCTTGTCAATCTCCCAGTAAAACCACCATACATTGTGGCAGGGATAAGCCTGAGTGCACTCAGAAACTGAGTAGGGTCTGAGGGAATTCAGGCAATTATCTACTTAGAAGATGACCCCAAAACAACAAAGAAAAGTTGCATGAAACACCTTAAAGTGTATGTTGAATATCCTGTGCCAATCCAATTAAGAACTGGCAATTCCTTATGTGTTCTGCCTGCTCCTTGAGTGCTGTAAGCTGGCTCTTATAAAACAGGATTGCCTGCACATAAATGCTTTCTCTTGCTTTTGGTATCCCATGGAACTGATAGTTCTGGAGCACAGTTAAATGTGTCCCAGATTTCAGGGCTTATTCCTTGCCAAGAGTCTAGGTGAAGCCAGTACAATTTGCTTGCACTTGACAGCAGGAAAACATTATTATGCTTGACAACAATCAAGAATTTTTGCACAAGAAATGTCTGTTCATGTACTCTGCAAAATAATTAGTTGCATCACATCCTTTCCCTCCACCTCTAACAAGTCCAGATGCCACTCTGCCATGCTCTGTCATGAAGTACATGGGCTTCAATCTTTGCCCTGTCACAGAAGGAAAGGCTTCTCCCTAGTTATGTGTCTGGGAGAGAACGGAGAAGCAATTCAAAGGAAGGAAATAACACTGAAGAAAACTGCAGGGGGATAAAAGATCGGAAAGTGTGAAAGAAATACTCTGTAGGAAGGTCTTCAAAGATGTGAAGTGTGGGAAGCAGCTGGAGGAAGCTACAGATGTACTAAGCAACTTCTCTGCATAAGAAGAGATCTAGTGCTTTTATACATAAACCAATGTTTTTATAAAAGCAGCACAGGAAATTTGCCGAGGATTGCCTAACTAGTTTTATCTACACAGTCAGTGATCCACAAAGCCTGTGCAGGATGAAGAACCAAGCTGGCTCCTCCAGAACCTAAATAGCGATCATGACAGGAAGAACGTCCTCCCTGGGCTCTGCTTCCCATACTGATAGCAAGAATAAGAAGGACACGCACTGCCTTGTGCATGGCTTAGTTGCTGTAGGCACCTCATCAGGCTCAGGTTCCCCATGCCATGACAGTTCTGAGCATGCACTTTACTGATGAACCTGCGCCGTTCCCCATGTATAGTTTGATCAGCCTTTGGCTACTAATTTCAGAACATTGGAGAAATTATTTTATGCCTGAATCACAGTTTAGCATTGGTGCTGCTGTAACCATGTACCTGTTTATGGGAAACTCCACTGTTTCCCAGAGAGAGAATAGCATTTCTAGACTCTTAAATTTTGTGGTGTAGCACTTCAACATCTGCAAACATTATCACCATGACTTGTGGCCAAGGTCGGGTGGACCAGTGGTTGACCTAATCTCAAGGAAAGTCACTGCACCCATCCAGGTGCCTTAGAAGGTCAAATCATGCAATGCTTATGACAGGCACTTTGAGGTATAGTTCTGCAAAATAACCAGGGCAAAAGAAAATGTAGCTATTTTGTCCCTGATGGCTATAGCTTTGGGCAGAGATGCATACTGCAGACTGAATTATAATTAAAAGTGTCTCAACAGAGAACACACAACATTGCACAAAGCTATAGCCATAGCTCAGTATAAGTTCTGAGGTAATACACAAACACACAGAGCTAGCTGAGGTATATGAGCACGCAGCTGCAGTTAGAAGTATACCCAAACCTGAAACGCCTCCAAACACTAGTTTGGTTCTGAATATTTATCTAACTGTTCCTTTTCCAAGCATTTGTTACACCTTCCTGTATTTTTTTTTCCAAACTTGTATAATATTTTGTGACTGACTCTGCCATACTTACTAATACTAAATAAAAAATAAATTTATTTTATGAATAGTCCCACCAGAATCAATGGCACTACTCAGAAGGAAAACACAGGTTGAATAAGAGTAAGACAATTGGACTGTAGGCTCTTTGATTTGACATTTTTGTGAATTGCCTAGCACATTTGTCTGAACACTGTTAAAAGGAAGCCCCATGTATCTTTCTTACTCACTTTCACACTACAAACACTCTTTTACCAGTCAGAATGTTTGAAATGTATCATTTAGCTCATGTAATATAAGGAACAGAATAGCCAGACAGAGAATTCCTGTTAACACAGCATGTGTATGTATATATAAACACACACACATACAGATATATAAAAATATACATTATATATATATACACATAAAATGCTGAACAGTAGATTGGCCCAGAAATTCTATTCTAAATGTCATGTATAAGGATATTTCTGTTATGTAATATGCGAAATATTATGTATGCAATATTGAGGAGTTAGACGAAAGCCCATCTGGGAAGTTGCTTACTGAGAGTTGGTCAGCCCCACACATTATGACTGCCTCTGTTAAGAAAAAAAGAAGGGTAGTTGTCATTGGTGATTCCCTCCTGAGGGGAATGGATGGCCCAAAATGTTGACCAGACCCATCCCACAGGGAAGTCTGCTGCCTCCCTGTGACCTAGGAAACTCCCTAGTCTGGTACGGCCCTCTGATTACTACCCGCTCTTGGTTATGCAAGTTGGTAGTGATGAGATTGCAGAGAAATCCAAGGGCCATCAAAAGGAACTTCAGGGCACTGGGGAGATTGCTCGAAGGTTCCAGAGCACAAGTCGTGGTTTCCTCAATCCCTTCAGTGGCGGGCAAGAATACTGAAAGGAACAGGAAAACACACCTGATTAACTCGTGGCTCAGAGGCTGGTGTCATTGGTAGAATTTTGGCTTCTGTGATCATGGTGAGGTTTACATGGCACCAGGCCTGATGGCGACAGATGGAGTTCAGCTTTCTAGAAAGGGGAAGTGGATTCATGCATATGAGTTGGCTGGGCTCATAGAAAAGGCTTTAAACTAGGTTTGAGGGGGGAGGGGGACAGAACAAGCCCCGCCAGTGATGGACCCAGGGGTGGCATGCCAATGTTGGGGGTGAAATCGATAGCTCAGCTTAAGTGTGTCTACACCAATGCACGCAGCATGGGCAACAAACAGGAGGAGCTGGAAGTCACCATGCAGCAGGACAGCTATGACTTGGTCCCCATCACAGAAACATGGTGGGATGACTCATGACTGGAGGGCTGCAATAGATGGCTATAAGCTCTTCAGAAGGGACAGGCAAGGCAGATACCCTGCTGGGAGTCTGTTATAGACCACCCAACCAGGAGGAAGAGGCAGATGAAGCATTCTACAAGCGGCTGGCAGAAGACTCGCAATCGTTAGCCCCTGTCCTTGTGGGGGACTTCAACTTACCAGATGTCTACTGGAATTACAACACAGGAGAGAGGAAACAGTCCAGGAGGTACCTGGAGCATGTGGAAGACAACTTCCTGACACAGCTGGTAAGGGAGCCTACCAGGGGAGGTGCCTCGACCTACTGTTTACAAACAGAGAAGGACTGGTGGGAAATGTGGTGGTTGGAGCCTGTCTTGGGCTTAGCAACCATGAAATGATAGAGTTCTCTATTCTTGGTCAAGTTCGGAGAGTCAGCCAAACCACAACCACAGACTTCCTGAGGGCTGACTTTGGGCTGTTCAGGACACTGGTCAGGAAAGTCCCTCGGCTGACAGTCCTGAAGGACAAGGGGGTCCAGAAGACTGGACATTCTTCAAGGAGGAAGTCTTAAGGGCGCAGGAGCAGGCTGTCCCTGTGTGCTGGAAGACGAATCGGCAGGGAAGACGATTGGCCTGGCTAAACAGGGAACTTTTCCTGGAACTCAGGAAGAAAAGGAGGGTTTATCACTCTTGGAAGAGGGACAGGTAACTCAAGAAGAGTATAGGGAGCTTGTTAGGGCATGCAGAGAGAAAATTAGAGGCAAAAGCCCAACTACAACTCAGCCTGGCCACTGCCATGAGGTATGACAAAAAGTTTCTCAAACTCATTAACAACAAAAAGAGAGCTGAGGAGAATCTCCATCCTCTATTGGATGTAGAAGGGGAATATTGTCACCAAGGATAAGGAAAAGGCTGAGGTACTTAATGCCTTCTTTGCCTCAGTCTTTAATAGTCAGACAAGTAATCTGCAAGGTTATCAGCCCCCTGAGATGGAAGACAGAGATGGAGAACAGAATAAACCCCCTGTAATTCAGGAAGAAGCAGTTAATGGCCTGCTTTGCCACCTGGACACCCAGAAGTCTATGGGGCCAGATGGGATCCATCTGAGAGTACTGAGGGAGCTGGCAGAGGAGCTGTCCAAACCACTCTTCATCATTTATCAGAAGTACTGGTCAACAGGGGAGGTCTCAGATGACTGGAGACTTGCCAATGTGGCACCCCTCTACAAGAGGGTCCGGAAGGAGGATCTGTGGAACTACAGGCCCATCAGCCTGACCTCGGTGCCAGGGAAGATTATGGAGTGGTTCATCTTGAGGGTGCTCACACGGCATGTGCAGGACAACCAGGGACTCAGGCCCAGCCAGCATGGGTTCATGAAAGGCATGTGTGCAGTTTTGAGCCCCTCACTACAAGAAGGACATGGAGGTGTTGAAGCTTGTCCAGAGAAGGACAACGAAGCTGGTGAAGGGTCTAGAGCACAAGTCCTATGAGGAGCAGCTGAGGGAATTGGGGTTGTTTAGTCTGAAGAAAAGGAGGCTGAGGGGAGACCTTATCACTCTCTACAACTACCTGAAAGGAGGCTGTAACGATGCAGGTGTTGGCCTCTTCTCCCAAGTAACAAGTGATAGGACAAGAGGAAATGGCCCCAAATTGCACCAGCGGAGGTTTAGATTGGATATTGGGAAAAATTTCTCTATTGAAAGAGTAGTCAAACCTTGGAACAGGCTGCCCTGGGAAGTGGTGGAGTCACCATCCTTGAAGGTGTTCAAAAAATGTGTAGAAATGGCACTTTGGGACATGGTGGTATTAGGTCAACTGTTGGACTTGATGATCTCAGAGGGCTATTCCAACCTAATGATTCTATGATTCTAAATTGCCTATGTTACTTTATGACTGGGATAATTACATAATATTTTAAAAATTAGTTTTCCAAATAAATCATGATTCTACCTTGCAATTTTTGTCATATTAAGAATATTCGCTGTTGAAAATTTAAGCATTTATGGTAAACCTTAAAGCTATGTGACATGTAAAGCTGAACAATTTCTAATAAAAAATACTGTTCACAGCTCATGGGCAACTTGTGAGCTCTTTAACTGCTAGAACTGTGGTTCTAGCATTAGGTAAACAAAAGCACAGAAAATTGAGCACTGCATTGATTCTTTGCAGCTGTATTACTGACAGGGGTAAAGATGAGGCCAACCTGGCCCACAAAAAAGGTACTGAACCCCTTGTACTCAAATCTGGTTTTGCTGCTGTGCCACTAAACAGAGAAAGTCCTATATTAAAAAAAACAGTACACCAAGCCTTTTCTCATTGTTTTATCTTTTCATTGCTTTTCTCCAAGACTTAATAAACCAGAAGAAAACAACTTGGCTACTGTATAGGAGAGAACAAACCTTGCTTTTGTACAAGTTTTTTGTTTTTTTTTTTTTTAGTACAGTTTTGCTTACTATTTATTTAAAACAAAAAATATTTGTGTTCTGGCTGAGAAGGAGTTTTGGCTTTTTATTAGCCTAATTTTTAAGCTATTCTGAGTTTTTATCATGCATTGTTTGAACTGAAGTGGTAACAGAAAGGGACAGCTTGCACAGACACTTGATAGGAATGAATACTTCAATTAGATCTTATTTAAGGAATGATGAACTTTTAAAGAACATTAAAGAATGATGCATAATTTAAAATTTTATTTTAAATGAATTGATAATAGCAACACAAGGATGTAGTATCTCACATCCCTTTAGTGTGAACTAACCTCCAAACACTGTGATGAAGCCCATCTTTCCTTTATCTGGACACATGCAGATAAGACATAGGCAGATAAGACATATATGCATCCAAGAACAGTCACAGCACTGGTTAATATATATCACTATTGCAGAGCTAAGCCAATTGTTTCCTCTCTGCCTTTAATACTTCATGAACCTGTCAAACGTAATGACATAACCATCTGGCCTGATCTAACAGCAGCTCCAACAGCAGTTCAGTAACCAGCAGCATCTACCACACAAGGCTGTATACCAGAAGTGAAGCTAATGTGTTACGATGCTGCTACAGATGCGCTTTTCACTCAAGGAGGCCCTATTTGAGGTGCATTTGCCTGCTGAAGCCATGCCTATGCATCAACTGAGCCCTGAGTCACCAATATGCCTGATGATGACACATTCATGAGCTAGAAGAGAAGAAACTCAGGGGATACAGAACTGATGTTCTGATATAAAGAAGGGAAAGATGCCATCTCCTGTGGATTAAATTGATTTAAGGAAATTTGTAGTATTGCTGCCCCAGTGAATGTAGTCCCATCACTCTCAGAAACGTTTGTAAAACATATACTTCTCTCCACCC